TGTACGGATCAGTATCTTGACCATAATTAGAACTATACTAGTGTCCCCAATAGTATAGTGTCCCCAAAAACGCAGTATTAGCAGGATCAGCCCCAATCACTGCCAGCACTTGTGTTTTAGCCCCCCCACCAAGTACAGTGTCCAAATATTTTTTCTGATCACTGCCACCTCTGATACATTGGACGCAAAAGCATATTGTTAGCTAGATTAGGTCTGACCTATGCCAGCACTAGCAGTATATTCTATTTTTAGCATGCAAGCAGTCCCTGATTGCTAGCCAGGGGCTCTCTTTCTCATAGGTTTCCCATTAAGTACCTGTAAAGTTAGTGCCTAAAAAGTCCAAAAAAAGGTACACTGGTGAAGAGGCCTACAGGATTCTGAGCATGACAGCTGAGACTGAAGGGGACACTGTCAGAATCAGGTTCAGAATATGAATCTGTAGAAAGCATGCTTGTCAAACTCGAGTGTGCAGGTTAGTCCGTACAGCTGATGTGTATCTCTTCACTTTATATGGGATAATCAGCACTGGTAGAAAAAGTAAACAAATGTCTCTGCAAACTGCATAGGCTGAGTGCCTGTGTGAATAATCCCTAATCCAGCACCAGCACCCGCACTTTGTCTATGCACAGGAGTTTCCTGTAAGGACTCATGCATATGGCTGATTAGGGCTGTACACCACCAAGATCAGCAAATTTCTGTGGCAGGTATGACCAGGTGCTTTAGATCAGCTGTGGATAGGAAGCCTGTACAAATCAATGACAGACTGACACTATCTGCAGCTGTTGGCATTTAATCCCCATAGCTGGGAATTTATTGGAATTGACCTGACAATGACAGAATTTAGATTTGGTTGTCGGGTCATTACTGGATCACTTAAAACTCTGGATTTTCTGGAGATGTAAATAAAGCAAAGCATGCACAATGTCTCCCATGTTGCATTCAGTTGGTAAGTAGCAACTGCCAGGAGTGGAGGAGAAGCTGTGTCCATGGATTCGGTGAAGGTGAGCTGCCCCCGGGGGGAAAAGAACCGTCACCGGCAGTAGTGGGGACACAGTGTGTGTATGCATTGTATGTTGCATGTATGTGTATGCAGTGTGTATGTATATTCCATGCAGTGTGTATGTACTGTATATTGCATGCATGTGTATGTATGTTGCATGTATGTATATGCAGTGTGTATGTATGCAGTGTGTATTTATGTTGTACGCTGTGTATGTATAATGTATGCACTGCGTATGTACAGTATATTGCATGCATGTGTATGTATGTTGTTTGTATGTGTATGCAGTGTGCTTGTATGTTGCATGTATGTGTATACAGTGTTTATATATGTTGCATGCATGTGTATGTATGTTGAATGAATGTGTATACAGTGTGCATGTATGTTGTATGAATGTGTATGCATGTTGTATGGTGGTACATAGGTGGTACTGCTGTACTATATAAAGAGGGTGTATATATAAAAAGAATACCAGGTGATGCTGTTTGCTGGGCTATATATAATTTTGACTCCTAAACTATGTACATTGCACACACCTGAACCCACACTTTGTACATTACACACCTGATATCTTCACCATATATACAATACCCACCCCAGTCCTGCACTTGTACATAGGGTGAAGTTTTTTTAAGCCCCTCTCCCATTGTTAGTGCAATTTTTTGCCCACACCCACAATTCACTGCAGTGTGCTACTCACACCACTAATTAGCCCCCTCTTTCTCTGCCCCTATTCTAAGGAAATCAGATTTTTCAAAGGTTTCCAGGTATGGTAATTGCACTTGGAGTGATTACCTGCAGTTTAGGGATGAATGTGCACCCCTGGATGCAAACTGTCTGCATCCAGAAGCGTTTATCCATTCCTAAACGCATGTAGTCCACTTTTGTATTTTTATTCAATGAACACAAGGCATTCTCTGATTAAAGGAGGCAGCAGGGAAAGGCAGATGATAACAAGCTGAACGGATGTAAGTTAAAAAAGAAAAGATAATTCTTGGAGTTCAGCTTTAAATTCTCTGATCTGCACAAGAAACCTGATTGATGTACATGGTTACTTGCTATAGCACCACTATAACAATGATGAGGTCAAAGAGTAAAACCATTGCAGTATACTCTATTTCTCTCAACTCCTACTATCAAATGTTTAGTATCCCTAACAATTCATCTTCAGTGTTATTTGGTGTTTCATGTGTACTGCTGGGTATAACATTATTTTTTGCCGTTTACAGCCCCTCCATTGCCATCTAGAGCATATAATTCTTGTATATTGATCTGTATCCCCATAGGATCTCTGTATGTCCAATATTGTCAGCTGTGACAAGCTGTATTTTTGAATTTGTAGCATGGTGTGTCAAGATATCAGACATCAGGGATCATTCAAATGGTCATAAAGTGACCCTCTGGTTTTAAAAAAACAATTCCAGTATGCATTCTTAACACAAAAAAGTACCTTCCGTTGCTCTCAGTCTCCTCCAAATCTCCAAATTCCTTTTTTTTGAGCTGCTGTGATCTGTCTGTTAGAGGGTGGCTGCTTTAATCCTCCATGGTCCCAATGTATGTCAGAATGTAGCCACCCTCTCTTGCTTGCTCCCTACGATGGACTATGGACTATGGAATTTGTAGTGTGTTTAGAGCAGTGCACATGACCTCAACTAACAAGCACTGCTTGTTCCATACAAAGATACACGAGGAAGAAAAGGAGAGGTCCAGGAACTCACGGAGGACGCTTCCAGGGGGAAGGAAGCACAGTAAGGAATAATTTCATGAAAAATAGATTAAAGGGACAATAGGCAGTGGCTGTGTATGGGTTATTTTTGGAGAATAAGCATATTGTCTTGTGCTGTTTTTAATTTCATGAAACAAAGAGCAATAAGAAGAAATCCGTGACCTATAGCAGCCAATCAAGATACATCTATCATTAGTTATACTGTAAAGGGCAATCACACTCATCCTAATATAACAGAAATAATAGGGCATCTTCTATTCTGAAACATAGTTCCCGACCTGGCATTTCTGGATTACTGCATTTTGCAATGCAAAACTGTTACATTTCAGAATCATATTGTTGATTATGCACTGGCCAGCTCCTGTCATATACAAGCTCTCTCTCTGCTCTGGTATTATACAAAATGCAGATCAAAGGTAAATAGAAAAAGCAAAATAGTCCACAGAAAAAAACCCAGAGAAGTTTTTGTTAACAGGGTAACGGGACACAATCTGTGACTTAAGGTATAGCATGCATAAATATCCAAGTGCAGATAGTGTGCACTCCCATTCACCAGACAAAATTACAGCCGCTCACCTCTGGAGTATGACCTCTGAATTAACAGAAAAGGTCAAAAATCATATTTTCCCTCTGGGGTATATAAACTGAAGACTCCAATCAGTCTCGAACAATGTGTCATCCCATTGATCCAAACCACATATGGAAAAAGGCAAAAGCAGAAGAATAGTGCTCTCCGTATAATAAACTACGCTGACGAAGTTTGGCCCTAGGACGAAACGCGTACGGGGGAGGAGCCATGCTTGTGATATCACCCGCGGCTATCTTGCATTCATGCACTGTGATCTCAAGCGCTCTATTATGCACTTTTTGTTAAAAGTGCCTTCTTTGTAAGTGTGTTTTTATCATTTTAATAAAAGTTTATTATACAGAGAGCACTATTCGGCTTTTGCCTCTTTCCATATGCGATTTGGATCGATGGGATGATACATCGTTCGAGACTGTTTATATGCCCTTCAGTCTTCAGTTTATATGCCCTGGAGGGGAAATGCGATTTTGACCTTTTCTGTTAATTCAGAGGTCATACTCCGGAGGTGGCCAATCAGTCTCGAACGATGTATCATCCCATCGATCCAAACCGCATATGGAAAGAGGAAAAAACAGAAGAATAGTGCTCTCCATATAATAAACTTTTATTAAAATGGTAAAACACACTTACAAAGAAGGCACTTTTAACAAAAAGTGCATAACCGAGCGCTTGAGATCACAGTGCATAAATGCAAGATAGCCGCGGGTGACATCACAAGTGTGGCTCCTCCCCCTTGTCGCGTTATATCCTAGGGCCGAACTTCATCAGCATAGTGTATTATACGGAGAACACTATTCTTCTGCTTTTGCCTCTTTCCATATGCGGTTTGGATCGATAGGATGATATATCATTCAAGACTAATTGGAGTCTTCAGTTTATATGACCTGGAGGGGAAATGTGAATTTAGACCTTTTCTGTTCATTCAGAAGTCATACTCCGGAGGTGAGCGGTTGGACTTCTGTCTGGTGAAGGGGAGTGTACACTATCTGCACTTGGATATTTATGCACGCTATACCTTCAGTCATGGATTGTGTCCCATTACCCTGCAACAAAATACTTCTCTGGGTTTTTTTTCTGAGGACTATTTTGCTTTTTCTATTTACCTTTGCTCTGCACTTTGTATAATTGTTTTTAGGTATTGTGGAATTTACCTTAGTGTCCAGCTTGCAAGTAATAGGTTTTATATATTTTATCATGTTTGCGCTGATTTGTTTTTCCCTTTATTGATTTTGCCGTTCTGGTATTATCATTGTTTTCTGAGTAAACTAAACTAAATACCCCAAAATGCATAATGTAATAAACATATTTTTTATTTGTTGACCTTTCAATAAGACTGCTGCATAATAGTGTTATCTGTTTAATTTAGAAAAGTCTACTAATATAAGATATACACTCATTGAGTATAACTTTAAATTGTATAGGCAAGATTTTGGGATTTCTGCATACAAGCTTTGAAAATGTAACATGTAAATGATTGTAACATGCAATCTATTACCTGAGTTACAGCATTTTATAAAAATGTAGAAATCCATGCATTAAATATAGAACATCATGTTACTATGTCAGTTGTTATAATTTAAGTGCAGGAAAACTAAAACAAAAAAAAATATATACAGTTTCTACTGTCTTTTGGTCTCTTTAGCCCTTAATACAGGGCAGACTGTGAACTACACATGCGTAGCAGAAAATCATTTGATGACGGTTCCATTCTGAAATGAAGATTCACTTTTGTCCTCTTTGCTTTGAGAATTTATTTGTATAATTCCTTTGTGTTTGGGGGAATTACTGCCACTGCTAGATTTGCTCCTGCTTTGGTCAGGTGTTGGCTGAATTGGTAGAGACCTTGAAGTACTGGACTTGGCCAAGCAGCTGCACACCAAGCGGAAAAAAGCCCGTCGCATCTCCTTGCTGGCCAGAGTGTAGATCAGAGGATTCAAGGCTGAATTGAGGACAGCCAGAGCAATAAACCATTGAACTTCATACAGTATCTGGCACTCCAAAACTTTACAGGCTACATCAATTAAAAGAAGGATGAATAAAGGAGACCAGCAGGCAATAAACACCCCCACGACAATGACGACAGTCCTAAGGAGTGCCATTGATCTCTCTGAATTGCTATGATTTGTGACTCTCCTGCTGCTTGACTTGACCAAGATATAGATTCTCGCATAGAGGATGACTATGGCTATCAGGATGGCTATGAAAATGCTAATGCAAAATCCAACATACTTTTTGGAATAGAGAGGTAGCACTGTAGAACAGTCGTCTAGGTTGTTAATGCAGTTCCAGCCAAGAATTGGCAAGGCACCTAATGAAAAGGAAATAAGCCAACAGGTCCCGATAAGCAGAAATACACGATATTTTTTATTGGCGTCATAAGGCCTCATTTTTATCATTGTCAAATGTCTTTCAATAGCAATAGCCAACAAACTGAATGTGGATGCTCCCAGGGCAACAAACATACTGCCCTCCCTGACAAACCATGCTGTCAGTGAAATAGTACATGTATTCGCTCCAGACATGAGGATATTGACTATATAAGCAATCCCAGCAAGTAAGTCACAAAGTGCAAGGGTTGCCAATAAAGAAGTACATCCTGTTATGGAATCGGTTATTTTTCCATATAGCAATAAGTACCATCAGGTTTTCCAGTACTATAAAGCTGCATATGATAAGAAACAGCATACTAGTTTTTTTCCATTTGATCGCCATTGCATTTTATGGATTTTCCTGTGTAGTTGTAGTGAAGCTTAATGGTAAGGTCACATCTCTGGTTTGCTTGGATTAGTTTTGTTGCAGTTAATGAACTTGCAGCCATAGTTCCAAAAGTAGAATGCGCTGAACTGATCTTCCACACTGTCATCTAAATATAATCCACTAGATGGCACTGCACCAACATCTTCTGAAACCTCATTGTGCTGTGAACATTTGGCTGGATAGAGTCTTGCATTTTATATTCCAGGGCAAAGCCAAACTTCCTACAAAACAAAGAAATACACAATAAATAGAAAATTAACTTGAGAAAATGTGATAAATTATACTTTCAAACACTTTGATTAAATTACCAGCATTACAAAATCAAACCGCTTTTGCACTTTTTGTTAAAATCTTCAGTGCTTTAAATGAAAGTAATCAGTATATTGATAAAAGTTTTTATTATTGTCCTGTGCCTGGTCACTGCAGATTAAAAAATAACAGACCCCCTTGCAAATTTTGTTTTACAGTTGGAATTTACCTGGAAGCTAATGTTAGTATGTTAGTAAAAGGGTTCATTCATACACATTGTGCTGACAGGCATTTTACTGTCACCGCATGGACCAGGGCTTTTTTTTCAGAAGAAACACAGGGGAACGCACCTCCAGCACTGAATGTATGTAATGGCAAGTGGTGCTGGGGGTGTGCTGGAGGATCTATTGTTGCTGGCTGCTGGGGGTTTTATTGTCACTGAAATGGATCTATTTTTGTGTGGTGTGCTGGGGAGGTCTATTGTTGCTAGTGGGGGATCTATGGTTGATGGGGGTCAGTTGTTGCTGGAAGGGATTTCCTGTTGAGGGAGGAGTCTATTGTCTATTGTTGCTGGCAGCTGGAGAGTATATTGATTCTGGTTGCTGGGAGATTTGTTGTAGTTGCTGGGGGTCTATTGTTGCTGGGGAGGTATTTTGTTTTGGGGGCCCATTGTTGCTGGAGGAATCTAATGTTGCTGGGGTGGTGTGTATTGCTGCTGACTGCGGGGGATCTATTTTTCTGCTTTTCTTGTTATCATTAAAGTGATTCTAAAGACTTATTTTTTTAAAGAAACAAAATAGCAAGCATGTATATACTTACCTGCTGTGTGCAGTGGTTTTGCACAGAGCAGCCCAGATCCTCCTCTTCTCGGGTCCCCCGCAGGCACTCTTGGCCCCTCCTCCTGTCGGGTGCCCAGGGGCGGACTGGCCATTTGGAAACTCGGGCACTGCCCAAGGGCCCAGGGTCAGTAGGGGGCCCCATGAGATGCCCCTGGTACCTTTTTCATAGGCTTTTTTGAGTTTGGGTAAGGACACAGGGGCCCTTATGATCCCCTATTGCCCGGGGGGCCCCATGAGTTGTCAGTCCGCCCCTGCGGGTGCCCCCACAGCTGCTATTGGGGCACCTGCTGCTCCATGTTTACATTCACACACAGAATCGTGGCTCAGCCCCACCCCCCTCTCTTCTCATTGGCTCACTGGCTATGATTGACAGCAGCAGGAGCCAGTGGTTCCCACTGCTGTCTCAGCTAATGAGGAGAGGGAGTACCGGGATAGCCAAGACTCCAGTGCACATCGCTAGATCGAGAGGGGGCTTAGGTGAGCATTAGGGGGGCTGGGGGAATTGCTGCACATAGAAGGTTTTTTACCTTAATGCATAGAATGCCTAAATGTATAAAACCTTAAGCCTTTACAACCACTTTAAAATATATAAAAGACTTCCCCATATTCTTGTTCTGATAACAGCTCCAAATTGTGGATTTTCCCTCACTTTCAGTTCCAATGATAATGGCCACTGGTACAAATAGAGGGGATTCATCTCCCCAGCAAACACACCGAAAGCAATAAAAACAAACAGGAATGATAACCCTCAGTAAAACAACCCATTCAGTTTAAAACAGAAATGAAAGACAAAACATTTGTATATAGATATAAAAAAGCATTACAAATACCCCTCCCCCCTTTTTATAGCAATAAAAACATACAGGGATGATAACCCTTCCCTTCTCGATGCAAAACTAACAAAAATGCACCTTAATAGAGTGAATTAGGTTTACAGGGTGCTACTATGCCACACTGGAAATGAAACCGAGCAATTGTGCAGACAGTGTGAGGTGCTTGTGTTATCATCCTCATTCTGATTCAGGTCTCACAGATTTCCGTTAAAACCCAACTCTCAGTGTGGGGCTGTGCCCACCCTGCAAGGATTAACTGGCTGTTTATTATAGGGAGAGTAACAACACTTTTATTTATTCAATCCTCTAATTCACTGGACTGGCAGACAGCACTCCCCCATGCTTCAGCAATGGACTGTCCCTCTGCTTCATCACGTCCAATGCAGTGCTATGGACCCTGTATTGGACTGAATGATGGCAGGATCCTAGACTGCAGGAACATGTGGGAGAAGACTCTATGGGGACCGGTCTAGCAGCACAGAAGATCAGGTAAGTAAATCTTTGCTATGCACCCTAGACATAAATGAGCACCTAAACCTTGCAGTCCAGGCACAAAGCCTGGGCCCTCGGGCAGTGCCCAAGTTTCCAAATGGTCAGTCCCGCCCCTGGTTAGTACTACAGAACACCTTCCCCTCTCTTCATATTTGCAACATAGTAGGGGGGAGGGGATTTGTCGTCCATGGGCTGATATTACTGCTTGAGATAACATTGTAGGATGTACAGAAGTTCACGAGTTCTCTGGTTTTGTGGCAAGATAAAGACTTTGTAAGGGTCCTTTCACAAGGGCGTTCAGTTTTTCTCATCAGTTCAGTCACGTTTTTTCAAAGAAGAAACAGATCAGTTTTCATCAGTTTTTTTTTTATCAGTTTACATCCGTTTTTTTTTCAGTTTACATCCATTTTCATAAGTTTTTTTCATCCGTTTTTCCTCCATTTACATCTGTTTTCCGTCTGTTTACATCCGTTTTTCATCCGTTCTTTTTTACTGAAGAAAAATAGGGTTTTCTTCAGTTCAAAAAAATGGATGTTAACGGATACAGACATTAATGGATGTAAATGGATGATCATCTGTTTATATCCGCCAGAAGAATGCATATAAAAAATTAAAAAAAGAGAAAAAGTATATTTATTTGTTATTTATTTATTTTAGGCACTTGTATAGCTCCATCAATTTACACAGCGCTTTACATATATATTGTACATTCACATCAGTCCCTAACCCTCAAGGGGCATACAATCTAAGGTCCCTAACTCACATTCATACATACACATACTAGGGCCAATTTAGACAGGAGCCAATTCACCTACCTTTAATTAACAGTCTAAAATTATGCCTATACAGTATATACAAATAAATAATATCACATTTACAATGACCTGATAAAGAGCAAAAAAAAAAAAAAAGAACACTTTGAATTAAACCGTGTCCTCATTTCTGATTGCGATTTTATTAGCCGTACAGAATATATTTTCAGACCCCTGTCAGACATAGTAAAAGGATGTGTTTAACCATAATGTGCTGCAGAAATATCACTGAAATTGAAATACATCTCCTCTCAACACTTGTGGCCTAATTGCGGGTCAAAGACCATATCTTGTGACAACATATGAAAATGATCTTTGGCTGCCCTTTTGTGAACTCTTCAACTACTTTTTTGGCAGGGCAGTGTTTATTTTCCACTGGGGCATAGTTATGTGTACATTGGGGTATTCAAAATCTCTGCTTGGACTCAATGCAGAAGATCACAGCAAGTCCAAAGATTTCTATTTCCATAGCAAGAGAGATCATATTAACTTAACAAAGCAACGTACAAGCAATTTACTACATACAAAAGGTTTCCAATGAGAGGGTGTGCGCCTTGCATACTTGTCAATAGCCTTGCAGTGCTTTTGTTAGTTACAGCTACACAGACCTAGTCTGCCATTAATTGATTTCTTACCAATGTGAACAACAGACTGCTCCACTCGCTTAGGGGTTTATTTACTAAAGCTGGAGAGTACAAAATCAGGCTCACTTCTGCATAGAAACCAATCAGCTTCTAACCTCAGCTTGTTTAGTTAAACTTTGGCTAAAAAAACTGGAAGCTGATTGGTTTTTATGCAGAAGTGAGCCTGATTTTTTTACTCTTCAGCTTTAGGCTTGGTTCACATATATGCATTTTGCATTTGATGCTTTCTCCAGTGCTTTTTGCAGTTTGTTTTGCGTTTTTCTACACGCCTGTTTGACGTGTTTTTACCGCGTTTTGTTCAGCTCTTTTTTTTTTTTTTGTTAAAGTGGATTTTTTTTTGTGGCTGGGCAAAATAAAAATGCAAAACACAGCAAAAACACACTACCATGCACTTCAGCTGCTTCTCCATTGAACTCTATTGTAGCAAAAATGCAGTTTTTTGCTTTTAAAAAAGTCCCTGACCCTTTCCAAAAACACAGCAGCTCAAAAAAGCAGAGATGTGAACATTTTCATAGGAAACCATGTTAAATGGACTGTAGTGTGTTTCTGCAAAAAGCACTAAAAAACACATTGGTGTGAACGGAGCCTTAGTAAATAAACCCCATGGTGTCATTGCTGAAATGCACATTGTAGGTAAAAACATGACTGATAAATGGAGATGATATTGTATTCATCATCAGCATACAGTAAACATATTGTACAAATACATTTTGTACAGAAAGTCCATCATATGACAGTGGCCATGCCTGGCTAACATAGTAGATCACTTTTTTCTCTTCTACAATGCCCTAATAGGAAATGTTCTCTTAATTCTCACTTGTTATTGTAGAGACAAGTCTGATTCAGACGTTCACAGCTTGCAGGATGCTTGTAAAATCACATTTTGTTGTTGGATTACTTGCAGACAACCAAGCAAAACGCATACCACATTTTACAACTGACAAAAAGACTTTGTTGTAAAATATATGCAAACACATACGTTTGATAATCAACAAATATACTGTGAATATATCTCAATCAAGAGGAAATATTCTTAAGAATATTTCTTAAAGTAAACCTCATTGGATTTATTTTCTTAAAAGGGAACTTCATCCTAAAATGGAAGTTCCGTTATTAAGAATCCTCCCCACCTCCTCTAATCCAGCACCTAATTTTGGCTGGTACCTGCTCTCAATTGTGCTGGAGTTGCCTAGGTGATTCCATAAAAAGTTCTCTGCCCCCCCCCCCCCCCCCCCCC